TTTTTTTTTTAAATTGGGCTTTTTTTCCCCAAAACAAGTGGAATAACTGTGTGCATGTTACTTCTTCTGCTATTGTAACTCTAATTAATAAAATAAAGGATAAATTAAGGGCTTTGATTCCCAAATGTGTAACAATTAATGCCTTTTTCATGGTTAATCTATTCAGGAAGATTTACTGACAATCCACACAAGAGTTCAGCAACTTGGAATGAAGAGGAACAACTTTGATAGACATAAACAAGGGAAATCAAAGCATAGGAAGTAGAAGGGGAAAATTGATGCAGATCATATTTTCAGCTACTAGGAAGCAGCTGAGTTTTTAGAGCATAAAGAAAAGAAATTTCAAGAGAGTGGAAAGAAGAGTTCAGAACGTGAATGGTTCCACCACAGTGACTAACCCATTCTGCATGTTGATCAGCTCCAGGCAGAAGGATCAAGTCCTCTGCTGGTAAATAGTGTCTTTGTATGAGAATAACCCCGTTTCTTTTTTCCCTCAGTAAATGTATGATGGGTCAGTGGAACTGCAAGGACTTGCCCTGCCCTGGGAGGTGTTCACTGGAAGGAGGCTCCTTTGTCACCACGTTTGACTCTAGATCGTACAGGTTCCACGGGGTTTGCACTTATGTTCTGATGAAGGTAACTACCTGCAGCCTAGAAACACACAATACCAAAGGAATGCACTCCAGCCTCTCTTTGCTTTCCTGTTGGAACACAAACTGAGGTCTTCCTATGATGTACATTTGTTCTACAACTCATTGTTTTTCTGACACTGTGTCCAGTTCTGCACTTGAATTCTGGATCCAGTTCTGGTCTCCCCACCATCAAAGGGACAGAGATCTGTTGGAATGAGTCCAGAGGAGGCCACAAAGATGATCCAGGGGCTGGAGTATCTCTGCTCTGAGGATGGGCTCAGAGCACTGGGACAAGAGAAGATTTTTGGGGGACCTTAGAACTGCCTCCAGTACCTGAAGGGAACCTGCAGGAAGGCTGGAGAGGGACTTGGCACAAGAGGGCCCAGCAACAGGACAAGGGGAAATGGTTTAAACTGGAGGAGAGCAGGTTTAGACTGGATCTGAGGAAGAAGTTCTTCAGTCTGAGGGTGGCCAGACTCTGGACTAGGTTGCCCAGAGAGCTGTGGATGCCCCTCCCTGGAGGGGTTCAGGGCCAGGTTGGATTGTCCTTGAGCAACCTGGTCTAGCTGAGAGGTGTCCCTGCCCATGGCAGGGGGTTGGATGAGATGATCTCCAGGGTCCCTTCCAACCTCAGCCATTCTAGGATTCTGTGACCCAGCTTTCCCTTTTCACTGTTTCCCCCCAGAGTTCCAGCCTGCCACACAACGGAACCCTGATGGCTGTTTATGAAAAGTCTGGTTATTCCCATTCTGAGACATCACTCAGTGCTGTGATTTACCTGTCCACAAAGGTAAGTGTTCCCTCCACAGGTTCTAGCCAGCACTGCAGTAACCAGATCAGCAAACACCTGAAGTCATTGCTAGTAGCCTGAGCTGAAAAACTCTGTGGGAATAGCTCCTGAAGTGAGTTTATGCATACACAGGACACATCTCAGCTGCCACATCAGCTCAGCATGTTAGAGCATTTCCAAAGTGAAAACTGAAAGTAGTATGGAATAACATGTGAGGAAAAGCTTGAATGAGTCTTTTCCTGACAAGACATTTACTGAAGTTAAAGAACATATAAATACCAAGAGCATGGATAATTAATTCTGATTCCATGTCCATTTCTTACAGGACAAAATTGTGATTTCTCAGAATGAACTCCTTACTGATGAAGATGAGCTCAAGCGACTTCCTTACAGATCAGGTAAAGAAAAGGGGATATATGTAAAATCCAAACTACATTAAATGTCTGGTTTACACAAGCCAGCATCTTTTCTCACCCAATTTCCAACAGCAGAGGTTTTGGAGGAAGGTTAAAATCTTGCCAGTTTAATCTCTCCTTCTGTGTGTGGAAGGAGAAGACTTGTTGGGCAGATGCTGGAGCATTTCCTATGTACTAAAATCATTACTTTGCAACATCCAATGCATCAAACTCTATTTCCCAATCTCCTTGCTCTTTTAGGAGACATCACTATTTTCAGACAGTCCTCCATGTACATCCACATGTACACAACCTTCGGGCTGGAGCTTGTTGTCCAGACATCACCCGTGTTCCAGGCCTACGTGAAGGTTGGGTCACAATACAGAGGCAGAACCCTTGGTAAGAAACCTAACCCCCACCTGGGGGAGAAAATGCAGGGAGTGTCATTCTGAAAGCTTAGTACTCATCTTTTAAGGAATAAACTTTCTTCTCTGGATTCAAATTAAAAAAGAAAATAACTGCATTGGAAAAAAAATTTTCTCCAATAGCTTTAAAATTAATTAAAGAAGATTGAGAGGTGACATTTCTCCTGTGTAATACCATAGTGTTCACACGTTCTAGGTGTGCCTTTTTCAGCATGTGCTTTACTACACAATGAAAGAGCCACAGATCAGGCTGTGTGGTCCCTACACCTTGGAGCACACGGTTCTTTGACAGCAGGGCACAACCTCTGTAAACACAACAAGCCTAAGGGTCTAAAGACTTCTCAGCTGATAAGCACCAGATGGAGAAGTTGATGTTTATTGCACAGCAACCTTAGCCACAAAGGCACATCCTGTGTTCTAATTATCTATGGGGAATTACAGAGGGGCTTGAGCTTTTAAAAGTTCTAAGCACAATTTCCTCATCATTACAGATTTTCTATACCTAAGAAAACAAATGTAAAGGCAGAATTATTTCACAGCCTTTCTCTATGATTTAAAAACATTGGAAAAGCTATTTTTCTACAAACAAGACAGAGGTTTCTGCATGAACTTGTCACTGAACAGAAGTGGACAATCCTGAGGAGGCAGAGGCTCGATGAGTGTGTACATCATCAGGATCCTCTGGCTGCTTGATCCATAGCACTCATTGACACTGTGCAGAGCTTTGGAATCCATTTTCTCACTGTTACAGAATGAAACACAGACCACTGTGTGCACACACGTTAGTTGATTTTCAGCCTTTTCACCCCTTGTGTTTCTGATGTTTTTAGGTTTGTGTGGCAACTACAACGGAGACACTACGGATGACTTCATGACCAGCATGGATATCACCGAAGGGACAGCCTCCCTCTTTGTGGATTCCTGGAGGGCAGGAAATTGCCATCCTGCTTTAGAGAGAGACACTGACCCTTGTGCTTTGAGCCAACTGAACAGTAAGTCCTGCTGTAACTGAACTCTCCAGCCAGCTCTGCCTGACACTTCCACAGACCCGTACCAGGGGAATGAGAGAGTTTGAGAAAAACAGCCTGAGATGACTGAACATTGCAAAGTCTGCCACCAACAAGACATTTCTGATTTCTAGAACAGATCTGTGTGATATCTAGAAGCTATCACTTTCTAGATATCTAGTGAAAGCTTATCATACCCAGAGATCTGGGAGTGAGGTGATGAATGAGAGGGGCTTGGTGATTATTTCCAGTGACATAGCAATGTCCACGGATGTCACAGACTTGCTCAGCAGTGCTGTGACTTCGATCCAGGTTTTACCTTCTCAAGTCTCTATTGCAATTGGTCTTAAAAAAAATAAAAAGCCCTATTGAGCTCTTTGAACAAAAGTGTCACCTGCAAGCTAATAAGCTAAGAAGTTGCCCTTTTGTTCAAGCCCCCGTGGCCTAAAGCTCAGCTAGAGGAGTGTCTCCAGGGCTTTTTTATTTCTTTTTATTTTTTTTCATTTCTTTTTCCTAAGTTCCTCTGTTTAATGTCCATTTACTTTCACTAGAAATATCTGCTGAGACTCACTGCTCCGTTCTTACCAAGAAGGGTACAGTGTTTGAGAAATGCCACGCTGTGGTGAACCCTCTTCCTTTCTACAAGGTAGGAAATTCTGATGGACACTGTCCAGAGGGAGTCCAGATGTGGACCAGAACATTCTCATACACAGCATCCCACTCCTTTGGGTCAGCAATACACAGAAGCTAAGGAACAAGTGGGGTTTTGATAATTAAGTCCATCACACCAGCAGTGTGTTTGTTCATAGACACCAGTCCCATCCCTATGAATTCAGAAAGGTTTTTTGCTCATTCTGCAGCTCTCCCTGTTGACAGTTTTGACTATACAAATATTGCTTTTCCCACGTGCAAAATGGAGTCCTTGTATTTGCCAATCCCCACAAAACAGCTTGAAAATGAAAAATGAAAAGCAGGGAAGAAACAAAGGCAGTTTTAGGTACTAAGTGCATCTTATTCATGTCAACCAGGCAATTAATCTGATCTTTCTCATCAGTTTTAGTTATGCAAGAATAGGTATTTTGCATGACTCACCTCTGCAATTCAGCATGCAATCATAGACTTGTAGAATTATTTAGAATGGAAACGACTTTTAAGATCGAATCCAACTTTAAAGCAAACCCTGCCAAGTCCTCCACTAAACCATGTCCCTAAGTGCCCACATCTACACATCTTCTAAATACCTCCAGGGTTTAGCACTTCCAAATGTCTGCTCCCCAGTAACAGAGTGCTCTCCCTGTGTTGGCTTTCAGAGATGTATCTACCAAGCCTGTAATTATGAAGAGACCTTTCCTTACATTTGTTCTGCTCTGGGATCGTATGCACGAACATGCAGCTCAATGGGTTTGATCCTTGAGAACTGGAGAAACAGTATGGACAACTGCAGTAAGTAACTGAAGCAGCTCTGAACAGTCTGCCAAGAGGTGAACACGTGCATACAGCTCTGTCTGGCATCCTCTACAAGATTCCCATGTTTGATTAACCCGTGACAAAACTGAATAAGAGCAAGAACACATTTTAAAACCACCTGTCAGCCATTAGAAAATAACTACTTATTGTTCAAGTAAAACCAGCAAAATATAAGGAAATAAATAATTTTCCAGGAGCTGCTGATTTCACGGATGTGTCATGACACCACAAAACCCATAAATGGTAAAACGTGATTCTCAACAGTGTCTAAATCATCTTAGGAGTACTGAGGAAAGCAGTGAACAGAAAGAAGAGGAAAGCAGCAATGGAACAATAGATATCCAATTTTGGAATACCCTCCTAGGCTGTTTCAGAAAAGAATTGTGACTTTAAGTCTACATGAAAAAGTTTGCTTTAAGGTCAGCATGTGGATGTTTCCAGGACTTGATAATTAAGTGATGGAACAGACAGAAAAAATAAAGCTCTACTGTACTGTAAGATGAGAAAGAATTAGGAAAAAACTCTGGTTGCAGATGTGATTTTGCCCTTAGGAAACCTAGACATGGGCACAGGCTTCCCAGTGACTCAAAAATTATATTTCTGCCATTTCATTGTGTTATTTTCTTACAAGATACCCGAAGAAGCAGTGAGATATTTAACCTTCATAAAACTTCCAACAAGCTGCATGATTGGTGTTAAGCCCTATTGGTCTGCAATATTTTTCTGTTAGAGCTCCAGATCCACGGGGAGAGAAGCAAGAGGAAGGGTTGGGCACTGAAGCTGTGGGCACAATAAGTGCAGCACATCAGGAGCACAGTGATCTCGCCCCAGGAAGAGGGTGAGTAAATGAAATTTAACCTACTCCTGTCTTGTTTTGCAGCCATTACTTGTACTGGCAATCAAACCTTCAGCTACAACACTCAGGCATGTGACAGGACGTGCTTGTCACTCTCCAACCGAGCCCTGGAATGTCACCCAACTGACATCCCTATCGAGGGCTGCCACTGTCCCAAAGGAACGTACCTCAACCACAGAAACGAGTGCGTCCGCAAAGCTCACTGTCCCTGCTACCTGGAAGACAGAAAGTACATCCTGCCTGACCAGTCAACACTCACTGGTGGGATTACCTGGTAAGTGTGGCAGCTTGAAAGGTTAACAAACTGGAAGTGGAGACGAGGGGTCTTTGTGTGTCTCTGTTGAGGGTTTCCAGCAGTATGAGCTGAGCACCGTGTTTAGCATCCACATGGATGAAGAAGAGAATCAGAAGGGGGAAAGCAAGAAACTTGGTGGGTTGGGATAAAGACAGCTTAATAACTTTATTATTAATAAGCAAATATAAGCTTATTTAATAAGCAAAGCAGCATGCAAAATGAAAGCTGAGTGAGGAATTAATTAACTGCTTCCCATCAGCAGGCAGATGTTTAGACATTCCCAGGGTAGCATGAATCTGTCATGCTAATGGTTACTTGGGAAAACAAGCACCATAACTCCAAACATCCCTTCTTCCTCCTTCTTCACCTGGGCTGTTGTACTGAGCATGATGTTGCACAGTACAGAATCTCCCTTTGGTCAGTCAGTCAGCTGTCCAGGCTGTGACCCCTCCCAGCCTCTCGTGCACCCCCAGCCTGCTCACTGGCAAGGCAGCAGGAGAAGAAGAGGCCCTGACACTGTCCATCAATAGCTAAACCAACGTGTTATCAGCACTGTTTTGGTCACAGATCCAACACACAGCACCACAGAGATGCTCTGAAGGACATTCACTCTGTTCCTGCCAAAACCAGTAAAGTCTTCATTAGTTTTAGTAGCAAAGGTTTAATTTGTAAGACATATTTTTTGCCCTTACCTAAAATACAAAGATTCTTAAATGAACAAAAAGCATTTGACTTACCTTAAGCTTGGCAACGTTAAGGAAAAAAATCAGAAAATAATGGATAAGATCTGATTATTCCTGGTAGGGGATTTTATCAGCAGCATCTGGGCAGTTATATACAAACCTCAAGAATGACTTGATAGGCCATCAAAATAGTGAATGGCCTGTTTTTCACTTTCAAAACTGATGTCAGTGTATACTATATAAAGTAGTAAAATGTCTTTCTTAGGAGAGATTTGTATTTAAATTCCTTTTTTTCTCCCCCTCTAGCTACTGTGTTAATGGCAGGCTAAGCTGCACAGGCAAACCCCTAAATCCTGCAGGTATGGTCTGGTATGGTTTACTCAGAAACATATTTTATCCCCTGTGCTGTAAAATTGCTGCTTCACGATCTCTCCAATGTTTGCTCTTCTTCCCTTTTCCTAGAAAGCTGCAAAGCTCCTAAGAAATACATATCATGTTCTGACAGTTTAGAAAACAAGTATGGAGCTGCGTGTGCCCCCACCTGTCAGATGCTGGCTACTGGAATTGAATGTGTGAGTTTCACAGCCCTGGGGTGTCTGTCCTCCTGAGAGAGGAACTGTGTTCTAGCTGTTGCTTAGAACATGACTGCATTCCCTCCAGTGAAATGAGATATTCCTTCTAACGTGGTGAACATCAGCCTTCTTCCCACAGACTGTGGGCATGAAAAATTCACATATATCCAAGAAGTGACTAAAGGAATTAAATTGCACGAATTAATGAATTAAATTCTATTGAATAGAATAAAAATCCACCCAGGATTCTTAATTACCTGGCTATCACCTCTGGCTGCAGTATTCCATAAGCTGCACGGCACTGGAGGCTGGTAGAACGTGTGGTTCATGATTCCTCTGCTATTCTTTCCCAGTTACCTGTTGATGATGATCACAGATGCAGGACACCTAGGTGAGGTGAACTCCTGCTCAATCCTGATAGGGGTTTTTCTGCCTTTTTATTAAGCTAACAGACTAACTGGAAGAATTGTGCTATGCTTCTTTGACACAGAGTTCTGTTGTAGTCTGTCTGAAGGTTTGGTAGCAATGGAAGATAAATTTTTCAGAGTCTGTTCAGTATCTCTCACAACAGGTGTAGCTACAACTTCAGTGAGGAGTCAGTTAACTGGTATAATAACAGGAGGAAAATCACAACTGAAATCAAGTCAAAATAGAACTTCCCACAGGTTCCCTCTGGACAGCATTCTCATACAAGATAAATGCATCTCATGTCTCTTTTCACCCTGCAACCTGTGGGTTTTTCACCAGATACCCACGAAGTGTGAGTCAGGCTGTGTCTGTGCCGATGGGCTGTACGAGAACCTGGACGGGAGGTGTGTTCCAGCCGAGGAGTGTCCCTGTGAATATGGGGGTCTTGCTTATGGCAAAGGTGAACAGATCCAAACTGAATGTGAGATCTGGTGAGAATCACAAGTTTTTTTCATTTCCTCTGTTTTACTGAGCTGTACAACTACACAACAAAAGTGTTTAGTTAAGAGGAGAGTGGGAAATGGCAGGGGCTGAACCAAAGGAATTGAGTGACAAAGCACAGAGGTAATAAAGAGAAACTTAACAGCTGAAAATATGTAACCATAGATGAAAGAGTCATGGTCCTGGCTTCAGGGATAATTTCTGCCATACCCATCTCCAGCAATAAGGGCATCCGGGAGGACCTGTAAGTGTAAACTACATGAGGTTAAGGATGAACAGCTCCACCTAAATAAAGATGAGAGCACAAGCTTCATTCTTTCCTGTAGATAAAATAAACCCCACCACAAAAAAAATTGCTTCCATCTCTTTAGCAGCATTCTCACAGTACTTTATTCCATTTCCAGTTATTATCTTAGCATTAAAAAAACACCACAACCCCCAAAAATACACAGAACAGTGACCTCTGTTCTCATTAAGTGCAAAAATGAATGAGTTTTATACTCTTTAATTTAAAGACAGAAAAAAAACCCTTAACATTTCTTCTTCATCATGAACTAATTTTCCAGGCAGTCCATAGCTTTTAGGTGTGGTTCTTATATTGATGGTAACTTGGTCACAGCGTACACAAGTCAATTAAATTAATATCTTTCCTGTAAAAGTGGATGTATATAAAAAGAAGGTGGTTAAGGTGGCGTTTCTTGAAGGGTGGCATTCTTTGGAATCTGAGTATGGTTTCTCTCCTCACTCCCAGCACTTGCACAAAAGGCAAATGGAAATGTGCTCAGAAGTCAAGGTGCTCCTCGACCTGTAACCTGTATGGAGAAGGTCACATCACCACCTTCGACGGGCAGCGTTTTGTGTTTGATGGCAACTGTGAATACATACTGGCCATGGTAATGTGCCTCTGGCTGCTGGCTTCAGCAGTGGCTTAGCAGCAAAAAATAACCATCTTTAAATGGCTAATGAAATATCCTAGGATGTGTCTATAACAGAGAGCTTTGAATCTTTATAAACGCTTAATGTGTTTTCATATTTTCTGCTTATTAAAATACTTAAGATAAAAAGACTTTCCTTCTCAAAACACTTCTTTTTTTCCATCCAATTTTAAGCTTAATAACATGTTTAAATAGGCATGGATAGTTTTGTGTTCTGTACCACCCAACTCTATCTTTCAGGGAAGGGATGTCAGTTTGGATACCAAATGAGAGGCCATTGCCTCCCAACACAGGCAGAGTCAGAGTCATGACATGTTTAAGCTTTCTTTACTCTTTTTATGCTTTTAGGTTTTAAGTTTGAACACTCCAAACAGAGTCTATAGGGGTTTTGTGCTCTTTGTGGTTTGTTTTGTTTTGTTCCTTAGGATGGCTGCGGTGTCAACAGACCTGTTTCCTCTTTCAAAATCGTCACTGAGAATGTCATCTGTGGGAAATCAGGGGTTACGTGCTCCAGATCCATCAGCATCTACCTTGGGGTAAGATCTTCATTCTGCTGTCAGCCAGCTGAAGACCTACTTTAAGCCCATGTTTGCTTCCCTTTTGGAAACTTTAGCTGAGTCTCTGAAGTGATGGCTTGTAAATGAAATGATGAACAAACCTACAGCTTAGTTTTGGTAGGAACTGACATCAGCTTTTCTTCAATTCTCATGTCAATGTTTCAGTCCCCAAATTTCTTGTATTTCTTTCTTCTTCTATGTAGATGCCATAAAATTTTGAACCTCACTGACCTGGCAATGAATTGTTTGGTCAAATGATATTGGTTTCTACCTCTCCCAGCAAACTCAGGGAAAAAAAAAAGTACAAAATTGCAGAATTCTCATCATGAATGATGAGAAAAATCTATCCAAATTTCTCTAAATCCAGGTAATATCTGTAGTTTAAAATATATTCAGGTCTTACCTCAGATACAGCCATGAAGGTACAGCAGTGAGCAGTTGTCCTCATTTCCACTGCTGTGTGACAGCTTCCAGAATGGGTTGAGTTTTACTGTTCTCAGTTCTGTGGGACAGCAATGCCCAGCAGTGTCAGAACTTCATTTTCTGATACAGAGAGGAATATGGACAGCTGGGATTTTCTCCCAGGGAACAGTCAGTACAAGCAGTACACAAGTGCCACATCACTGGCTAAACACTGGGAGATTCAGCTTGTTGGTGCTGTGGTGGAAAAGTTTGTTTGCTTAGGAACCAGTTTGATAAAACCATGCTCCAAAAACCTTTCTGTTGATTATCTAGACATTGAAACACTTCACCTGACTGCCATCACTTGTCAAAAATAACTGGGAATGTCATCTGTACCTATCTTCAGCAACGTGGCAGAGTAAGCAAAATACCTTGATAAGTTATAACATCCAGATAAAATTTTCTTCCAGAATTTGACAATCATACTGCGAGATGAAACCTTCACTATTTCTGGGGAAAATCCTGGAATACAATATAGAGTGAAAAATAACGCCCTTCACCTGATGTTTGATGTCATTATCCCAGGAAAATACAACATGACCCTTATCTGGAATAAGCACATGAACTTCTTCATCAAGATCTCCAGAGAAACACAGGTACTGCAGAACGACTTCCTCAGTGACCTGTCCCTCAGTCCAGGTTTATCTGGTCACTTGATGATGGTTGCCTTGACTTGATGGCGAAGGTTTTCCAGGGATG